ACAGGGTCAGGCATCCCCTGCCAGGGCTGTCACGGCTCTGCGGGGCAGAAAGTGCAGCGAGGGCCAGCCAGGGCCCCAGATGGCTGATCGTCCCTGGGAGCAGCGAGCCAAGAACAGCCAGCCGCCTGCGGGAGCTCTCTTACCAGCATGTCCAACCTGTGCCGATGAAGGCAGCCCACCCGCCTGCTGGGAGGAACCAAGGCCCCTCAGCGCCCGAAGGAGCTAAGCCCTCCTTCTAGTGAACATCTCTCCGCTCACCCCATCCACTTGCATCCTGCTCAGCCATCCGGTCCCTCCAAGGCGCTCTGTCCCTATCCACCGCAGCTCGCGCGCCCGCCTGTCTGACATCCCTCAGGCCAGCTTGGGTGGGCGTCTCGGTCTTTTTCTTTCAGTCTTAACCTACTGGACTCACCCACCCACATCACTGCCGGGCAGGGCTGCTAGAGCCACATGTAGAGTGGGGGCTGTAGTATCCGAAGTCACCGCTGCGGTGTCCTGACAGGCCTCCTGCGCTGTCAGTCATAACCGTTCGGCTGTGCGTGTGTGGGTGCGGGGAGAGCTCCTCCTGTGTATTGTGTTGTCTTTGCACAAGTGGTCAACACAGCAGACTCTGAGAGAGCCCCCAAAGACCATACAATCAGATGGGGATTGAAGGCACCGGCCAGGCTGACTGTCAAGCGAAGTACACCAGTCGCTGTCAGTAGGCTCTAGCGAACCACTTCACAGACTTACCCCCTGACGATGGGCCCAGCTCAGGCAGTGCCAGGGACGAGACGCTGCCCCCAAGGCCAGGCAAAGAGCCCCTCCGAGATACCACGTTACACTGGTACAAACGCGTTACCCCTCACTTCTGACAGGCTGCCACCCTGTGACGTTACCTAGATACCACCCGTCACCCTGCACCTGCTGGTTGGATTAGACCATCTCCATCCATCGCGCTGTCACTGTAGACCCTGTTCTGAACCTGGGTTGGTGTCTGTGGGCACCAAGGTCCTTGTTACCGAGCAGGGGGTACCAGCCTTCTGGAAAGGGCTTTCAAACGGTGCCCAGTGCCAATTAGTGTTTTACAGCCGGTACCTCGTACAATTCCTGTTCTACACCCGGGCCTATTGCCAATTAGTGTCTTATACGAACTGTTCATGCCAAGTTCTGTGAGCAGGGCCTGCCTCTTGCTCACAGCTTAGCTTAGCTTTATATTAGCCACGCCTTGACCACTGTTAACTAGGCCACAGGCCTCACACCAGGCCTGTGCTACATGGGCCCCCACCTTCCTGCAGAGGCGTTGAGAGCCATTGAACCAAACTGCAAACCCTGCACGTGACGGGAACCGTGTCAAGCCAGGGGTGTGGCAACTCGCCCAGCGCCCCCCGTGGTACATGACCCAAGCGCCTGAGCCTGTCACGGATGGGTGTGACCTGGAGCAGGTCTCCGACACGGCCATTCCTCGTGGCGTGCTTCCCGCTTGCCTGCGAGGAAGCCCGGCTGTGCCAACAAAGCCCAGTGCAGCTGTCATTACGTATGTTTCTCCACAGCAGCCATAGGGGATCCAGTAGCTTTTCACTCCCCTCGCAGTGCGGCTGCATGGCGACCAGAGGTCCCTGTTGTTTTATTCATGCAGCAAAGGGATTCTGCCCCAACAACGAACTAGAGATTCGTGCTGAACACGCCCCGCTCGCGACCTGCATGCTGACCTTCAGGGGAGGAGGCGGGTCACTGCTTTGTAACCCTTTGCCGCCGTCTGCGCCTCCGAGAGAACCAGCTCCGTGTGCCCCGGGGCGTGGAAATGGTGTCAGATGCAGCCCCGGCTGAGCACAGTTGCCTCGAGGAGCTGAGCTGAGCGAGTGGGCCCTCATCGAGTGAGAGTCGTGCAGGAAAAGGGAACCACGCCTGGTGGGGAACCAAACTGGGGTTTGTTGCACTGTGGAGTGAACGGCAGGGGCCATTTGCCCAGCCTGCCGGGGTGTCTCTGTGATGGCGCGTCGGGGTCCCTGCCTCCTGCACCCCCAGAATGGCACGAACAGACTCCGCCCACCAGTAGCATAGAGGGAGTTTATTGCTTCTCCAGGATACAGCCCAGCACAGATGGAATCTGGTTCCAGGGCAGGCCTAGGATGCCTCAGCCCCCCTTGAGCTGGGGGAGTCTGGGCCCCTAAATCCCAGCCCCTTTTCTCAGGCTGCTTCCTCCATGATACCAGAAAGAAACTCCAAACTCTCTCCCAGCCCTGCCCCCAGCCAGGTGCTGGTCTCCGCCCTCCCCCCTTTGTCTCTCCCTGTGGGGCTGAGCCTGGATGTCTGGGTTAATCCACATTTGGGAGAGTCAGTGAGAATCTCCCATTGCAGCGCAGGGGGGCCCGGTCACAGAGCAGACAGCCCCCCACTACGCCACAGTCTCCACGCATCTTGGAAGCTCCTAGCTCTGAGTCAACCAGCTAGGTGAGAAGATGGGGAGGCAGGAAGGGGAGCTGGATACGTTGGAGGGTCGGGGGAGGGGCCAGAGAGACCTAGACTTGGAGGATTGGGCCAGAAATCTGATGAGGTTCAATAAGGACCAGTGCAGAGTCCTGCCCTTGGGACGGAGGAATCCCAGGCATTGCTACAGGCTGGGGACCAGCTGGCTAAGCAGCAGTGCTGCAGAAAAGGCCCTGGGGGTTCCAGCGGAGGAGAAGCTGGAGAGGAGTCAACAGGGCGCCCTTGTAGCCAAGAAGGCCAGTGGCATATTGGGAGGCATTAGGAAGAGCTTTGCCAGTAGATCTAGAGAAGTGATTATTCCCCTTTATTCGGCATTGGGGAGGCCACATCTGGAATATCGCATCCAGTTCTGCCCCCCTCCTCTCTACAGAAAGGATGTGGACGTATTGGAGAGGGTCCAGCAAAGGGCAACAATGATTTGGGGGCTGGAGCACATGACCTATGAGGAGAGGCTGAGGGAGTTGGGCTTGTTTAGTCTGCAGAAGAGAAGAGGGAGGGGGGATTTGAAAACAGCCTTCCTGAAGGGAGGATCTAAAGAGGATGGAGAGAGCCGGAGGCTGTTCTCAGGAGAACGAGGAGCAATAGCCTCAAATTGCAGTGGGGAAGGTTTAGGCTGGAGATTAGGAAAAAATGATTTCCCTAGGCGGGCGGGGAAACACTGGGATGGGTTCCCGAGGGAGGGGGTGGAAACTCCATCCGGAGAGGTTTTTAAGTCTCAGCTTGACAACACGCTGGCTGGGATGATTGAGTTGAGGTTGGTCTTGCTTTGAACAGGGGGTTGGACTCGACGACTCCTGAGGTCTCTGTCATGATTATGAGGGTTAGCCAGCAGCCTGGGGATTAAGGGGTTAACTACACCTAGCCAGGTGGAGTGGCCAATAGGAATGTAGGTGGGACTTTCAAACTGGGACAAAGGAATTTGGGTTTTTTCCTTTCTCCTTTGTCTCTCTGGGCGAGTCCTCTGCAGCTACAGGGAGGGACAAGCATGTCTCTCTCTCTCTCTCCAAGAAACAATTCTTCACTTTCTGTAAGTCGGGTAAAGTTTAGGTAGTTTCGTTAGGCTTTATTGTTTTAAGGGTTGGGTCTGGGATCTGAGATCTGGCACTGCTTACGAGATGTTTGGCTTTTCTTTTTAACTAAGTTCTAGCCCATGGTGTAATTCCTCCATGAGTATATTTTGTGACCTTTCCATCTGATCCTTATGCTTGCAACAGGAATATTGTTGTAAGAATAAAAGTTTCTCCTTTCTTTTCATTAACCTGGCACTGGTTACTTGTGTGTCCTGATTTTTATAATAGGGGTGAGATTTCCCAAATGATCTTTCCCCTAATCTCGTTATCAACATTTGGGTGGTGGCAGCGGAAGTTTTATTCCCAAGATCTAGGTTTTTAAGATTTGGGGGGAAGTTTTATACCAAAGCCTGGTAGATAAGGCTTTGGGGTACACTTGCTGGCCCCCACTTCTGCATGTATCATGCCAGAGTGGGGAAGGAGCCATGACAGACTCTGCCAGCCCTGGGGTTCTATGGCTCTCTGAACTCACAGGGAGGGGGAAGGAAGAAAGGGCAGCACCCGGATCCAGGAGCTCCATCTTGGGAGCACTCCAGGCAACGGGGCCCGTTCTGGCAGGACTCCCAGGCATATCTGCAGTCACAGTGCGAGGATCTGAAAATGATTTGAAACCTGCCAATGTTTTCTCCGACCTCTTCCCCTCTGGCTTGCCCAGCTTGCTGGCTTCTTTGCTGCTCCTTGCACACGAAAACCACAACTTCCCCGGCCCTTCTTTTTCACGCTTCATGCCATGGCTGATTTTAAAGCATATGGGGAATTAGCAAAAGATGAATAGCTGGAATTAGGCAGCCTTCCCGCAGGAAGATTTATTGCATAAATAAGCTAAGTAGCGCATACAGGAACTGGCATTAAATCACAGGCTTGGCAAATCCTTCCAGAAATAAGCCAACAACCACCTTGCCAAGCAAGTGCCGGGAACCTGGCAGAATTCTGGGTACCTCTCGCGGGTTAGAAGAGCAGATTTTACACAGAATGAACAATGAGGATTTCTGAGTCTCTGTGGCGCCGTGTGTGACCAGGAGGGGGCATTGCTCACGGTCTCCCTTTGAGCTGCCAAAGACACCAGGCCTTTGACAGGAGTAATTGCTCCTGCTGTAGATTTTGGACCAGTTCAAATGCCCGGGGGCCCAAAAATTTGAACAAGCCCTTTGGAAAGAGCAGGTGCAATAGACTCGGCTGATAATTGCACAGTTGTGCCTTGTTCTGGTTATTTGATAGATTTGCCCAATGTTTGGCAGAGCGCTGGGTTCCTCAGAACATAACCTCATGCTGACGCGCTGCCATGCAGCATCGTGGTCACTTTGCTAACTGCCCCCGGCTACAGGTAATCAAATCCTTCAGAGGTTCTAAATGAGAAGAACATAGGTGGTGGGTATAACAGGTGGGGGTTGGTTCAGGTGGGGGCGGGGTTACATACACCACAGCCCAGGGGGAAGAAAGCCTCGAGAAGCACCACTCTGATTGCAGAGAAACCTGAATCTTTTAATAAAACAGTCACGCGACAATTACAACATACACAGCCAGCGTCCAAACTCCCCCTCAAAAGATCAAGCCACAGCAAAGACTATTAATATTCCACATGTGAGCTATCTGAAGCAAACCAGGTACATTTTGATTCCTCTAAGTCTAGGCGTTAGTCAAAGTAGCAACTGGCAGCGCTTGGTTTTGGAAAGGGCCACTGTCTTGTTTCAATATTCCAGATAGGAAGAGTAACATTGTTTGGGCTGCTGCAGTCAAGCCGGAGTCCGGTTTTCAGGTGGGAGCGGTATAAAGTCAAGCTGACTTCATGGACTCATGCGGATAACACGATAAGATCCTAACAAAACAAGTAATCAAACGTAGTTACCTCAGTTCCTTAAACAAACCAACAACATTTCTTGCTTTTTAATACACGGCTCCGTTCCTTTGCCTGCTTTTCCTGTCAGTGGATTTCGTGTCAATGAACTTTCAGGGGCTTGCAGCAAAACTAGCTGTGGAAAGGCCTGACATTGTGAATCGGATTAAGGTCCAACAGGTGGATCCCCATAAGAACTAAGGCTGTGTCTACACTGCACAGTTATTTCGGAATATGCTATTCCGGGATAGCTATTCCAAAATAGCTTATTTTGAAATAGCACGTCTACACTGCAGGGAAGCCTCAAAATGAGTCCAAGGCAGGCTTCCCTAGTGTAGACGTGCTATCTCGATGTAGCGACCCAGGAGGAATAACTTAGAATGACCCTGGGGAGGGGCTATTTCGAAATGGCAGCAGTGGAGTGTCCACACAGGCCTTATTTTCAAATAGCTATTTCGGAAGAGGCGCTATTCCTCGTAGAATGAGGTTTACAGAAGTCGGAATAAGATGCCCGTTATTTTGAAACTATTTTGAAATAACTGATTCGCCGTGTAGACGCTTGCATAGTAATTCCGGAATACCTTTGCTGTGTAGAATCATAGAACACTAGGACTGGAAGGGACCTCGAGAGGTCATCGACTCCAGTCCCCTGCCTCATGGCAGGGCCAAACACTGTCTAGACCATCCCTGATAGACATTTCTCTAACCTACTCTTAAATATCTCCAGAGATGGAGATTCCACAACCTCCCTGGACAATTTATTCCAGTGTTTGCCTACCCTGACAGTTAGGAACTTTTTCCTAATGTCCAACCTAAACCTCCCTTGCTGCAGTTTAAGCCCATTGCTTCTTGTTCTATCCTCAGAGGCCAAGATGAACAAGTTTTCTCCCTTATCCTTATGACACCCTTTTAGATACCTGAAAACAGCTCTCATGTCCCCCCTCAATCTTCTCTTTTCTAAACTAAACAAACCCAGTTCCTTCAGCCTTCCTTCATAGGTCATGTTCTCTAGACCTTTCATCATTCTTGTTGCTCTTCTCTGGACCCTCTCCAATTTCTCCACATCTTTCTTGAAATGTGGTGCCCAGAACTGGACACAAGACTCCAACTGAGACCTAACCAGCACAGAGTAGAGTGGAAGAATGTAGAAGTAGAGCACCCTGAATGTCCTACTCATGTTGAATGGAGAATCCAGCCAGTAAGGTGAGACGTTACTTGTGAAAAATGGCATCGTCCCTGCTCCTGTGTGGTGTCACATTTAAATATTTCCTTTTCAAATAACAAACACGGTTTTTCTAGTAGCGAACTACTCTCGGGAGAAAGCAGGACTAATGAGAGGGGACAGGACGCTGCCACCGTGTCAAACCACTTACTTCAATGACCTCGATGTCAGCATTACTCAAGTCGGCATTCAGCAGTCTGGGGAGAGGGATGCCTGCTCCTAGCACACCTGCAGAGAAGAGTAGAAATCAGTTGTCACTTTCCAGGCTCTCAGAAATTGGAGTTGCTCTCTAATTTCTCAATTTGTTTGCAGCTCACTCAGTTGCAATTACCTTTGCTATGTTTCTTCGAAATGACCTCCCGATTCATTCCAATCAGAATAGCGTTCTCATGTGAGTTATGTCCCCAAGATTTCATTGCTTTTGCAAAATATAGGACATGATTTTTTTCCTAGCACACAGCAAAACAGCAGCCATCCAAATAGATGTACAAAGACAATTGTGCAATGCAGTTTGCCTTTGTGTTTATTCATTCACCGACAAAATTCAATCATCTGACATGGGTCTTCTCAGCTTTAGTATAAATGAACTCCAGCAGGCTCTGCTGTGTGCCACTAATGTAAATTGCAAACACAGTCATAAACCCTCATATCGTGCACCGTCTGGATTGAGTGCAAGTGAAGAGAGGAATGGAAAAGAAATCTGTCCTTACTGTTTATTGCTGGCAGGAAGGCAACGTCAAAAATCTTGCCAACCAGTGGCTTCCAAAGTGAGACCTGTATCAGGGACAGAAATGATTTAATGGGGATTTCATTGCCTGTGTCGTGCATTAACATCTTGATTCAAGTCCAAGTTGATAGCTGTGAATTTGTAAGTGAATTCCAGTTCAGCGGCCTCCCTACAAAGGCAATTTCCCCAGCCTTTGATATTCACAGTTACACATCAAAAGCTATGAATGGGATACATTCAGCCTGTCTCAATTAGCGTCATTAATCCTGGCCCTACAAATGACATGTCACTGCTTTTGCTGTTATATACTCTGGATTCTGTTTTTTCCACTCCAACTCATTTGATGAAGTGGATTTTACCCATGACTGCATGTTACCTAATATATTTGTTAGTCTCTGAGGTGCCCCAGGACTGCGCGTTGTTTTTAAAGTTACAGACTAACACAGCGACCCCTCAAACTATCTTCAGTTAAGCTAAGAAACAAAAATCCTCTTATTGCTCATGAATTTCCCTTCTGTCCTCTATATTAGCACATGATGGCTGTGTCTACACTGGCAAGTTATTCCGGAAAATCAGCCGCTTTTCCGGAAAAACTTGCCAGCTGTCTACACTGGCCGCTTGAATTTCCGTAAAAGCACTGACGATCTAATGTAAAATCATCAGTGCTTTTCCGGAAAAACTATGCTGCTCCCGTTCGGGCAAAAGTCTTTTTCCAAAAGACTTTTGCCAGAAAGGGCAGGTGTAGACAGCATAGTTCTGTTTTCCGCAAAAAAGCCCTGATGGCGAAAATGGCGATCGGGGCTTTTTTGCGGAAAAGCGCGTCTAGATTGGCCACGGACGCTTTTCCGCAAAAAGTGCTTTTCCGGAAAAGCGTCCTGCCAATCTAGTCACGCTTTTCCGAAAATGCTTTTAACGGAAAACTTTTCCGTTAAAAGCATTTCCAGAAAATCATGCCAGTGTAGACATAGCCGATGTGTCTCCCCCATCACAGGGGAAGCTGTTTTTAGCACAACATATGGAGATCAAAAGAACCCTCTTGTCTAAATGAAAGAGAGATGGAAAACTAGGCGAAGAACTGAAGCCTACAAAGCAAACACTTTTCATTGTGGAATCAATGTGAGCATTTGGGAAGTTAACGGCCAAGAATCTTCAGGAGTAGCAGCGAGCGGATTAAGTTAAGGTGAGTAATGCCTTACTCATCACCGTCCCAATAAATCCCAGCGTTAATAACACATTTGTCATAACCACGCCTTCCACACCGCAATTTACAGTATTCGTGAGATTGCTCATGGATCATCCCACAAAAAAAGCCCTTTCTAGAGACAATGGAACATATTGTATAAAAGTGACAGAGGTTCTACACCCTAGGTTCTACACCCTTGCATTGCTAGAGCCTGTATTGGTAAGAACCTGGCTTCCTTTAGTAGATTACATGCATTACTGAAGCAACCTAGGCTCTTACATCGAAATTGCCAATGGAGGAAGAAGCCAAGGAGAGATCCGCCCTGCAGAAAAAGGAAAAGCGTCAAGTGAATTTAATGTTACCAGCCATTTGCACCTGTGCTCCTCTCCAAGCAGGTGCTATGTGAATGCACCCACCGGACCTCCCCTCCCGCCCCCACACCATTCCTGAACAAGGAACTAAGGATAGACACGACAAAAAGACTTTGTACTTGTCAAGACGGACACTGATCTTCAGTTTGTTGTTTTCCACAGAAAACTGGGCTAACAAGGCAGCATCCTGCAATGAGAAAACAAGGGTCAGTCCGTCTCGGGTGCTGGCGTTCGGCTGCGTGGGCTCCCGAGGAGTGAAAGCGCCGCCCATCTCAGGCCTAGAGCAGAGACGTGCAGCCCTCAGTCTGCGTATCCCCGTGCAGAGGCTCTGATTCGCACAGGACGGCCACCCACAGAAGCTACGTGACTGCAGAGGGGTTTCCGTGTTTGCTGGGGCTCGTTTTCAATACGTACAACGTTCAGAACACAGAGGGACTGGTGGGCGCCATCAGGCTGGGAGACTAACACCTCCACTGTTGCCGTGAGCTGGATCAAGCCTTTATCTCTTTTCAGGGTCACCCTGGGAGTTTCAGAGATTGCAACTTTCAGCAGCAATGGGAGCGACTCAGGGAACCTCTGGCGAACCTGCGGAAATTCCAGGGGAGAGGTGAGCAGGGTTTAACACTGAGCCCACGTGGTTTATTAAATCCCAGTAGGTAGGAAGTCCATGCAATGCAGCTAGATTCCTTTCAACGTATAGAGTCAAGTATCTAAAAGGGTGTTACAAGGAGGAGGGAGAAAAATTGTTCTCTTTGGCCGCTGAGGACAGGACAAGCAGCAATGGGCTGAGACTGCAGCAAGGGAGGTTTACATTGGACATTAGGAAAAACTTCCTACCTGTCCAGGTGGCTAAACACTGGAATAAATTGCCTAGGGAGGTTGTAGAATCTCCATCACTGGAGATATTGAAGAGCAGGTTGGACAGACGCCTGTCAGGATGGTCTGGATGGTGCTTGGTCCTGCCGTGAGGGCAGGGGACTGGACTTGAAGATCTCTCGAGGGCCCTTCCAGTTCTAGAGTTTCGTGATTTATGATTCTATGAGCCAGGAGTAAACCAGCCAGATTCATTATTGCTTTACATCAAGCGTAACTCCATTGATGTCAATGGATTCAATCTAGAGCCGTGATGTCCAACCAGCCCTGCAGTGGCTACTGCTATAGCGAACTAGCCACATTCAACCAGCCAAATAACCGCTTGTGGCTAGCGTGTTGGATACCACAGATCTAGAGGGAAGCGGAGGTGAACCAGGCCTGGTGAATGCATCAGTCATCAGATGGTGGAATGTAGAGTATCGACTCCTGACCTCAGGAGCAGGGCCGGTAACGGTCTTATCATGCCAGATGGGGCCGCTCCATTGGGCCACCAGAGCAGCACAAAGGGACCAGCTCAGAAATCAGGCTTGAGTCCACTGTGATTTGGACTTTAGAATCTGATCCAACGTCCACCGAACTCCTGCCACTCACTTCCGTGAGCTCTGACTCAAGCCCCTAAGCGGAGGCTGAAGGATAGCTTGCAATCAGCCAGCTAGAAGGAGAGAGCAGCCCTGGGGGTGGGCGTGCTCACTCCAATTGTTTAGCCCTGCAAGACAATTCCCTGTTGAGATGTAAATGCAGCTCATGCCGGGATGGGGACGGAATCCGAGGTGAGGTTATGTAAATCCAATTCAGCCAGGGCTGATGGAGGATCGGTTGTTAGACTGGAATGTGGTGTATTGTAACTAAGTTGTCTGTTGTGGGGTCACAAACCATGCTACCCCCAAATGTAGGAACTGAAAAATATGACACCAGTGCGTGCAGGAAAGACACCATCGTTGTAAGGGATCTCAGATGAACAAGCCTCTCCCTTTCAGAGCCGAGTGAACTGATTTGGGGGGAAGGGGCTTGGGCCAGCCTGCTTCGTGCCAGCCGGGTGTGAGCTGTAAGACTGGTTCAACCTGTCTCCTTCCCCCCTGTTGTAAGGATAGACCTAAAGCAGACTCCAGCATTAGTCTTTTTGTTACTCCAGTAGAAGCTGGAATCTTTTTGCCAGCCTAGGTGATGGCTAAAGAGTTGAAATCAGTAAGAGCTGAAGTCACTGGTTTGCCCTGGAGCCAGACCCATTGTGGCCAGCAGAGTGGCTGGTGGGGATGGCCGATAGGAGAAGCAGCAGGCGGCCAGCAGGGCAGCTGGAGAGAGGAAGTGGCGGGCGGCTGGCAGAGCAAGCAGACCACAGGAGCAGCACAAAGATGGCCTGGCCTCAGGCTCAAGGAGTGGAGTCATCAGGGTGACGTGTCTGGGTCTGCACTGAGTGGACAGAGCTGTTAGTGGGGCGTTTGAAGTGGGGTACGGAGAAAGTTTGGGTAGGTGAATGGGATCCTGACATTGTTGGATTAGTGAGCCTGAGAGGCAAAGGACATTGCTCAATCCCTTTGAGCTGGGACGGTTACTCGTGGGGAGTAATTTTCATTAAAAGTGAATCCCTCTTTCATTAAAAGCTTCTTTTCTACGCTCAGACTCTGCTTGCGAGTGGGGAAGCGTGGCCTCTCAGAGGTGCCCCGAGGTGTGTGAATTTCCCTGGCTACTGGATATGGGCTCAAGCTGGTTGTGTGTGATGGATGAAAAGGGACCCCTAGATATTGAACCCGGCCCTGGCTTCTGCCGGCGCTACCTGGCAGAAGGGCTACACAAGGAAGAGCAGATCTTTCGATACATTTATGGCCTTCATTGCCGGAGTACAGGTTGTAAAGTACAGCGAGAGAACTCACTAACCGCGGGAACCAGGGCTCCTAAGGTGGCTGTTCTCAGCGGAGGAAGCTCAGGAAACTTTGCCAAAGAAAAAAGAAAAAGAATTCAGTGAATTGTGCCCATCACGTGACCAGGCTCTACACTTTTCTTGGCAGCATTCACAACACATCTGGAGCATTTGTCATTTCTCCGCCTACGTCAGTGTCATTCCTGCGGATTGATCATTCGTGGCCAAAACCGTGCGACTGGGCTCCGAGGTTCTACCCCCACCACCACAGCCTCCCCTCTCTTTTACTTCTACAGCTAAAGAGGCAGAGGCCGGTCTGCTACTCACCAGTCCGTCAGAGATGTCTATAGTAAAAGCCCCTTCCTTCTGCAGGAGAGAGATTAAGGACTCAAGGAAGTTGATAGAGAGTCCGAGCTGGGAGGAGGCAGTCTGTGCCATCTGGGGCATTGGTGGCATCGGTACCCTCGGTGGCATGGAGACATCTTCTGCTTTGCCCAGTGGGTAGTCAACAAGGCCTCCTCCTACCCCCTGAACTATAGTCTGAAAGCCCAGGAGAAAGAATTACACGCTTTCTGAACTCTTGCACATTTCAGTACATTTGGTTAGAAGTTGACCTGTGTGCCCTGAAAGTTGAGCACTTGGCCACCCAGAAGAGATTCAAATGCTGCTCAGCTGACTAGCAGAGCACCCACAGCCAGCAGTGTTTCTCCTGGTGGTGCACATCCACACATGCCTCAGTGCACAGAACAAAATTTATTCCACCCATGGATGGAAAAAATGAGAGGGAACATTGGGAGTGATATGAAATACCTTTACATGCAACTAACCCCAGTGCAAAGTGTGCCAGGTGGCTAGTCTACCCTCTCCCTCGAATTTTATCTATTAAAAACAAGAGAGTGTGAACAGCTGGCTGACCCAGGGCCTGATCCTGAGCCATTCACGTCAATGGGGGGTTTCTCCAAGGACATGCCCTGCAGCCATTGTCAACACAGTGAACTGTGAATTCCCTGCCCAGAGCTCAGTGGGGTCCCCTGGTATCCCCCGCCCAACTTGCTGGAGAATCACTCACTGCAGTGACACGAAACCTCACAGCCCTTGGCTGGAACAGACTCACATTCAAATCTACTTCCAGCAGCTGGCCAGTTACTAGCGGGAGGCTTGACACCGCGTACTGGAGACTTCCCAGCACGCCCAGGGGCACCAGCGCTGCAGTGAAACAGGAGGAAACGAGGACTCCTCAGCTGGGTGGGGCCGTAACTCCTCCTGCCCGCACCGCTACCTCCCACCCCTCTCCCTGCACGCCCAGGCGCCCAGGCTGTGCTGCGAACCCAGACTAGCACGTGGCACCGGGCAGCTAGTCCGGATGGATGGAGGCTGAGCTCCCGGCATGCCGGAAATGGAGGACGACTCCTGCCCAACCTCCCCTGGACGCCACCAGCCCGGGGGAGGCTGGGGCCAGACCCAGAGAATTCTGCAGCTTGAAACTGAACGAAGCCCGGGACTGTGGGGAAAAGGGATATTCAGCTACCGTCTCAGCTGGGAAATCGTGCTCCCGGCTTTGGTGAGTGCAGCGGTGCTGGGACCAGGGGAGAAAGGCTGGGGAAAGGGAGGGATCTGGGGGGACACACAGGAGACACTAGCCCCGTGGGAGGTAATGCTTTGCCCTAGGCCTGCCCCATCTGCCGTGCGCAGGGCCTGGATTTCCATGCGCATCTTCTGCCCCCAGGGCTCCTGGCCTCCTGCAGGTCTGTGTGCAGCACGAATAGCCCGAGGGACCCCAGAACAGCCCTGGGGAGAGAGAAGCAACGGCCCTGCCAGGAACTTACAGTTCACGAGGCCCAGCTGGTCATTCACAAGGCCCAGGGCAACCTCGACCACTGGGCAGAGCTGCAAGAGACAAGACGCTTCCGTGAGGCCTTCCCAGGCGCACGCTCGCCGGGAACGCAACTAGCAAGGCGACCACGCGCCCCGGCCAGATCAACCCCCTTCTGTGCAGGGCCAGACGCGGCTCCGCAACGGGTCAGTCGGCATGGACGAGCTCACCGGAGCGATCTCAGCGGAGGGGGCCCCTAGAGCTGGCTACGCTCCGTCCCTGTCCCAGGGAAGAGCCCGGTCATGTGAATTCCAGATGGGCCATGCCCGGGAGTTCTCAGAGGCCCCTCCACCCAGCCAGGAAGTGTATGCAGAGTTAGGAACTGCGTGAGCGCAACGGGCCCCAGGACTCTCGCCCAGCACAGCGGATCCGCGCCGGACAGGAGCAGAGTTAGGAACCGCGTGAGCGCAACAGGCCCCAGGACTCTCGCCCAGCACAGCGGATCCGCGCCGGACAGGAGCAGAGTTAGGAACCGTGTGAGTGCAACGGGCCCCAGGACTCTCGCCCAGCACAGCGGATCCGCGCCGGACAGGAGCAGAGTTAGGAACCGTGTGAGTGCAACGGGCCCCAGGACTCTCGCCCAGCACAGTGGATCCGTGCCGGACAGGAGCAAGGCCCGACCAATTTCATGGCTGTGAAAAACACGTCGCAGACTGGGAAATAAGCCCTTCCCGGGCAATCCGACGTCCCCTTGTTCCCAGCAAAGTGGCTCCCTGCTCCGGCTGGGCTGGGGCGGGACAGGATTGGTTCACCCCCTGCACAGCTGCCCGGGGAACGGGAAGATCAGACCCACCTCCAGGAATCTCCTGTAGCTACCAGAAGCTCTGAGGTGGCTGCCTTCAGCATCCAGCAATCCCATAAGCCCCCTGAAACTGGTGTCTCCCCCCCACACACGCACAATCCGCTCTGGGGTTGGGACCCCCCAGCATCATGTCCTGAAATTTCTCAAATCCCATGGCAGTGAAACTGACCATCATGGACCGTCGATTTGGTATTTCTCTAGAGCCTGGCCCACCCTGCATCCCCAGACTTCACAGACCAGCGCTGGGACATGCACTTAGCAGACTTCTGCCCCCTCAGGCTGGTGCTCGGTTCTGTTCCAGCCACAGACAGGAACGGGGCAGGACTGGGGCTGTGGGGCCCATTTTCATAGACTCCCTCAGTAAATTTGCCCCCTTCTGATGCAGGCTTGATCTAAGCTCCGAGTTTTCCAAGGGAGGGAGGCCTCCCACCCATCTTGTACATTCTCTGGGAGTATGTCTACTCAGCAGAGTTTTTTTGGAAAAACGGCCGTTTTTCTGGAAAAACGACACTTCCGTCCACACTGCAATTGCATTCTTTTGACAGAGAGTTGATAGACTGCAGGGGGTTTCCGACAGCGGTAAACCTAGGAAGAAGCCTTTTTCTGAAAAAGCTCTTTCGGACAAAGGCGTTTGTGGATGGGGAAGAGGGTTTTTTTGAAAGAAGAGGCCCCCAGGAAAAAGCACTGGTGCCATGTTGGCCACTCCATCCACAGTAATCACAGCTGAAATGTGAGATCGTGTCCACTCAATGCGGCCGTTATCTTTCGAAAAAGCACATCGCTTTTCCACTGCGCTTTCGCTGTGTGGACGCTCTCTTATGAAACTGGAATCCCCATCTCTAGATATATTTAAGAGTTAGGTTAGATAAATGTCTATCAGGAATAGTCTAGACCAGTGTTTCCCAATTTTATTTAGCCGCGGAACCCTTAATAACAGTCTAATATATGGAGCTGAAAAAGGAGACCACAAATAAGTAAGGATAATAATAAACAAATGCTAAACAAGGTTATAAGAAACTAAATGTTGAATTGCACATATTTAAAAACAAAATCACATGATATTAATTATTATTATTTTTAAAATCATACAATGCTATTGGAATGGAATTTTCTCGCGGAACCCTTCTTTTCACTTCGCGGAACCCCAGGGAGCCACGGAACGCCATTTGGGAAACACTGGTCTAGACGTAGCCTGAGGTAGAATTAAAACTGGACCCAAACCAAAACTCTGGCCCCCAAGTCCCTGAATGGGGGCTTATGGAATATACACCTAGGTTGGGTGTCTGACATCTGGACGGGGGCTGGGTCTGGATGTTACAGCGCGACTCCCTCCCTAGCGACGATTTATTTGCTGCTCCCTTTGTTCACACTAGGGAGTCTGAAGGCGAGTCAAGGCGCAAAGGCTGGGAGAGGGCCCCTCTTGACATTGCATGGCAGTCACCTGACAGACGGTACAATAGTTGCTTGTTTAAGACGGACTAAAGGGACTTTGGAGTGCGGCTTCTTGTTGGCTTACCAGCTCGGGAAGCAGTCGGTTAAGGACCCGCGCCAATAAATTATCCACAATCGGGAGCAGGCTGAGCAAAACAAAGAACAGGAGGGTGAAAAACGTTGCTGAGGAATCAAAGTATCTCATTGGACAACAGAACTGTGGGTGACTAGGCCCCGGGGACAGGGCAGCCCGTGAGTATAGGCCGACTTGGCCGTCTCCTAGGGCACCGCCTTCAACGGGGCGCCCAATGATGACGTCACGCCATTTAGGGCCACGCGGGGGGGCACCGATTGCACGTTCCGCCTGGGGCACCAGCTGCTGCAGCCTGCCTCTGGCCGCCCCTGCCCGGGAGCACGGTGTGGGTCTCGGGAAGTGACAGCCTGGCAAGGAGACAGTTGTAAAATGCAGGTAGTTGCTTTGTGGAGGTTCTGGCTGTGAATGCTGAGATGAGGCAGACTCTCACCCTAGCCGAGTGAAGGGGAGGTTTGCTACAGAGCTTGCAGGACTACGTTTTAACCTGTGTAAAGTGTGACCATCTTTAAAAGCAACTACCTCGTCCCGGAGGGGACAGTGCTGCCTGTGTGAACGGTGCGTTGCAGAACACAATCAAATCTACCAACAGGACAGGAAAGAGAAGAGCAACTGAAACGGGTAAAGGTCTAGCGAACACGAGCGATGAGGGAAGACTGAAGGAACTGGGCTGGTTTGGTCTGGAAAGGAGAAGACTGAGGGGGGACACGAGAGTGGTTTTCAAGTATCTAAAAGGGTGTCACAAGGAGAAGGGAGAAAAATTGTTCCCTTTGGCCTGAGGACGGGACAAGCAGCAAGGGGCTTAAACTGCAGCAAGGGAGGTTGAGGTTGGACGTTAGGAAAAACTTCCTGCCTGTCAGGGCGGTGAAACACGGGGATAAGCTGCCTGGGGTCTCCATCCCTGCAGATATGGAAGAGCAGGTTGGACAGACACCGGCCAGGGATGGTCTAGATCAGGGATGAGGAACCCACAGCTGACGGGCCGGCTTGCCTTGAGCTGGGCTGTGAAGCTCGGGCCTCCCCGCCGTGCTCCTCCCTCTCCCCCACGCCCCCCCAGCAGGGTGGGCTGGCGTTGGCGCTCCAGCCAAATGGTGAGTCTCCGAACCTTAGTGCCCCCATGTGGCCGAAGCGCCACCACTGGCTCCCCGCTGGGGGGGGAGCCCCAAGCCTGGCAGGCCAGACCAAGGCAAGCCACGTCCGCGGGCTCTGCCCGGCAGGGGGAAGGAAGGGGCCCTGGTGGGGGAAGGGCTGTCCCTGCACTCACCTGCAGGCGTCACCTGCGTCGCTCCCATTGGCCAGGAATCGCAGCCAATGGGAGTGTCAGGGGGTAGCACCTGCAAGAGGGGAGTGGCACAGAGCCACCTGTGCCCCCGGGAGCTGCGCCAGGTAGGCACC